CAGTTATGTAAATAGCATATTATTCCCAAAAAAGCATCACTGCATATGGCTACAGAACCTTCGAAAAACACCCTTCATAATATAATTGCCGATTAAAAATATAATAAAGAATAATATTTACTCTTGACAACTTCATGCAGTTTAGGAAGAAATTATTTAGGTTGGTGGAGATAACAGAAAAACGCTTCTAGTATATATTTCTTTTAATGACTCGATAAAAAGAAAGTCAATCTCCGCTCACAGAAAATCCTGATGTCATTCAAATTCATGCGTATCGTTTCATCTGCATTTGCTGATGGGAAATGATCGCCATTGTATTTATTTGTACCTCCCTTTTAAGCACTCATACAGTCGATCTAGTTCATCTAAGGCCCAATCACAATACATTATATTCTAGGACATTTTTGATTCTGTTTCATTTTTAAAAAAATAATAGTAAAAAAAAGCACTTAAGATAACCTGTTTAAGAGAAATATCCACTTTAAAAGAGAAAAACATTTTTCTGATCCATTTACTAAATGATAAAAGTTTTCGGCAGGATTACTATAGGTATATCTTTTTTTAATTTTATAACTACATACAATATATTACATATAATATGATTAACCATATTATATTGTATATTTAATGCGCTTATATAGCTTTATACATGCTTGGATAAATATTTGAAACACACGTTAATTGGAACGAGTTAATAAAATTAGTTTATTTATACCTCTCCAAGATCAGAACGTTTCAGGAGCATGGGGGGTCTATAGTACAAGTAGATTAGCTATATTTTTAATGCTGTGACTTTTTTACTTCAAACTATTCTTTAGTGTTGTTTTTAAATAAGTACTTCACATGTCTCCGGATCTTTACTACAGACAACGGTATAATAAACAGAAACATCTTATTCTCTGCATGGAAATCGTTGTGACCCTCATCAAAAAAACTGATAAATGTGGCTTATCATTGTATCACCTTAACGTCTTCACTACTTCCTTTAACAATTTCTTTCAAACTTAAAACTAAATCAATTTCTCTTTGATAGCAGATCTCTAGTACGGATTTCCTCCATTGTGTCTCCATCAAACAAGGGACTGAATTCATTCTAATGTAGATGAATGGTTTTGCATTATAGAGGGTGGGGGAGCGCATCCCAAAAATAAAGTCAAGGTGTCAAAAATATCATCCTATTCCGGGAGAGAACATGGACTGGGGGGGATAGAAAATGGGTGACTCAGCAGGAGACAGATTGGGTGATCATCTAAACGGCGTGGTCACCGGGGACCCGTGAAATTAATATCCGATGTTTGTGTGTGTTGAGATTGGAGAAAGTGAGTGGGTGAAGCGGGGGGGAGGGAGTGGGTAAAATCGTCAAAATCTCCAGCTTTCCGGTGGGTCCGGAGCTTCCGGGTGAAGCTGGAGATATATTGCAAACCGATTCTTCGTCCTGAAAGCCCCCTAAATATCATTTTCCACCACCATCAACGCTGATGGAATCATATTTCGGGGATATATAATGGAATGTTTGGCATATTGATCTAAAGATGGAAATTATAGGAATTTGTTTCGGAAGCTTTGTCATACGTTGTTGGAAATATTTGTACTCATTGTTCGAAATCGTCCCTTTTTATTAACGTGATAATGGCGTTATAGATATAAAGCGTGTAAACTCTTTACGTCATTTATAAGCATATTTCGTGATTTAGCTCCAGAAGTTTGATGAAATGGTAGGGGTAAACCACAATTATGTTATTTCGATGGACTCATTTTGAATATAAATAAAAATATATAACTCTTTTTTATTATCCTTATTATGGATATAAAGCGTGAAAAAAAATCTTTTCGTCATATCTAACCAAATTTGGTGATTTTGCCTCATAAATTTGGAGAAAAAGCAGATGAAAACCACAATTATGTTATTTTGATGTGCTTATTTTGTAAAATAAAAATATATAATTTTTTTTTATTGTCCTTTACCTATTATACTAAAGACAGAAGTAATATCAAAAAATCATTGAATATATAGTTAATTTTCTTTAAAATATATTGTTTAAAGTTGACTATTTTTATCAGAATATTCTGTAATGCCAGATATTAATATACTATATCTTTATGAATCTTTATTTTTATGTCTTATATGAAGTGAAAAATGCAGTGGCGTACATAGCTTCAGGTGCGCCCCCTCCTGTAAGAATTATAAATGTGCCCTATCTTAGACTTAACACAATATTTTTAAAATTTTAATATAAGACAAGAACACTATGAAGAGAGCTTGTCTGGATGTCAAAATTGTTGTTAAAATTTTGGAAAGTCGTAGTGATAACCACCAAAAAAAAGCGGTCAAAAGACTACAATTTAGATTTGAGGCTTTCGAAAACTTTAATGCGCGATACAAAATTTCTGATCTTTTTTCTTCAAAAAAACTTATAATAGTTTTTTTTCTTCTTCAGATTCAGGTGCTACCGCGGGTCGTAGGTTGTGCACCCCTAGTGTATTACTTCTGCGCAACCACACGTCGCGGGGCTGCGAAGGTGTTATTTATGCTACTGAAAAAATAAATCACAACCGGTCGTAAATAATTATTTATGGAAAAAAAAAATTTAACTTTTTCAAAATCTAATGATACGCAACTGTGAAAGGGGGAATTAAAAGCATCAAAACCTGTTTGACTCCCAGAAAGGCAAACAAAGTTAAACAGAACTCTAATATCATGTTTACTTATTTTTCAGTACAGAATTAAGCTTAATTAACATAATTCAGAACTTTATAAACACAATTGAAAATTTTGTTTAAATCTGTTAAAACATTTTGGCTCAAACACTACTATTAAATTCTGGAGCAAATATTCCGGCCTGGTTTTGTTATAAAATTACAGGTAGTCTCTAAACATATGTAAATGAATATTTTAAAGAAATTATTTATATCATATTATCTATGATCATATCATTTCAATTTTGACTTAAGGAAGAAAAAAATCTTAGTTATTTTAATAATTGCATTTATAACCAATTTTTTCGGTATTTTCATTTTAAACATATCATAATTATACAATGAAATAGTATTTTAAAAATATTATGGATATTTTAAAAACTGTGTTCTAGTGTAATAACTGTAAAAACTCTAGAGTAATAAATGTAAAAGTATTATTTCCTGTAAAATACTTTTACTAACTAGAAATTAGAAGAAAAAAAATCATATTAATTTTATTATTTGAGCAGTACTATAACAAAAACTGTACCCGTTATTTAAAATTGACAGTCCAATGTTTTTTGCTATTTAATCTATTTTTTCGATTAACGATATTTAAATTATTCTGTCCAATCAAAATAACTTAAAATAATTAAGTTATTTCCTGCAATTTTTCTGCAAGCTGTCAAAATTTTTATTCTTACAAAATTGTCAGGCGCAAGAAAAAAAACACCGTGTAATTTTTTTATTTCTAATAAAGATAAAATTTAATTGAAATAAATTGTATTCCTCCAACTCCTTATAAATTAATCGAAATAAACTATTTCCACTGAATATACTTTTAAAAAAAAAGGGACTGTTGGGAAAAAAAAGGAACCCTAAATCGAATTTTCAACCATCGCATTCTTTAAAAGCAAGTGAATGAATAGACGCTTTTTCTCAAATTTAATAAACTTGATTTGAATAATTCAATTGCAGAAAGTACCGAAGGAAGAGTGAAAAAAGTTTATTTAAGGAATGATTATATTTATTTTTCTGGTGCCAAATAAAAAGAAGCCATGAATGCATATGCAAATGTTTTACTGGACAAAAATATGAAGCAGAACTAATATTTGTTCTATCCTCCTCTCGCTTTGTGCGGCTTGTTTTGATGTGTCAATACGAAATGAAAGTTTTTTGTTTTTTTACTTTATTAGAAAACTGAAAGACTTTGAAAGAAATTCCGCCAATTAGTATTTGCATTTTAAAAGTAATCCTTTGTTCTCTTCTATTCCTTAAAGAACCACTAAAAGTGAAATATTAATGAAATGAAATATTTCGTTTTTGTTTACATTCTTCAATATTCAATATTGATTGAATTATTGTTTTTATATTAATTAGTATGCCATATATTTCTCCAAAAAAATTAGCTGTAGAGAAATACGAAGGAATTTTATCTTTCAATACGTGATGTATGAAAGTTATATTTAAAAATTCTGCCCGTAATAAAATTAAAAAAAAAAAAAGCAGTGCTAAAAAATAAAGTGATCATCTTAAAAATTTTAAATCGAATGATTGGAGTTTGGGCCCCTTAATGTTTAGTTAATAATTTAATATATATATGTGTGTGTGTGTGTGTGTGTGTGTGTGTGTATATATATATATATATATCGGGTGTGGCAGAAGTCGAATCCATGACCATAGATGGCGCCACTGGAAAAAAAGAACTATCGCACCCCTTACTTTAATGGCCTACGACAACAGCAACAGAAGGTTATTTTAAATTTTAGCACAATTTTTAGCAAAAAAATTTTGTTTTAATAATTTTAATAATTATTCATTAACTAAACTTTGTCTTCTTTTATATGGTTGTACAAAGATCGAATATTTCTTTATGCATGTATATAATTATTTTTCAAGAATTTTGAGTACATTATGGGTTGTTTCAAAAAGCACCACCCTTGAAACATACATTTAGGTTGCTTATCAAAAAATAAAACAGATGAAGAATACAACATTAGGAGTTACAAATAATTAAGCTGGGGAGAACAAAACCGGTTAATAGATTTGAGGAATCGTAAACGAGTAAGTCGAGATTAAAAATATCAAAACCAGTTTAAGTCACAAATGAATTCGAATAGCCTTCTTCGAATTAATGTGCTTAATTTGGTATGTGATATTTAACGAAAATTCTAAAATTATAGATTCTTTTAAACTATTCTACCATAAGGGTGATAATCACGCTGCGAATACAATATAAATATTCATTTAATTATTCTTCATAAATGATGTATTTATCTTCATTTAATTGATTTTAAATCACTGAAATATAAATATCTTTCCAGGTGTCTCAGTCCCCGTTCCAGAAATTTTTATGAACCCTGCCCGTTTCCAGCTTCTGGTGAGTTCACTTTCTTTTATTAAGGAGATGTCACAAATTTAAATTAGCTCCGGTACGCGCACTTGAAGTGCGCATGCGTCAATTCTATTGATATGCGCATGCGCCCGTGGAAAAAAAAAACATCAAGCTTACGTAAAGGAATATAACAGATTTCCCGTAACTTAAAAATATTAACATTGGGAAATATCATCTTAACTTCGACTATAAAATGAATACATTTACAGTGGACATGGATATTATGAATGTTAAACTTCTTTAAACTGAACGGCATGATTGTGGTCACAAAATTGTTAATTGCACATGCGCACTTCAAGTGCGCATGCGTCAGTTCTGGTGATATGCGCATGCGCCCGAGAGAAAAAAAACTCTCACGCGTACATAAATGAATGCAAGAGATTTTACTAAATCCGTAAGTTAAAAATATTAACATTGGATAATATCATCTTAACTTCGACTACAAAATGAATACATTTACAGTGAACATGGATATTATGAACGTTAAACTTTTTCAACCTAAACGGCATGACAGTGGCGACATTGCCACCATCATGGTCACAAAATTGTGACTCCTTACCCTCCATTTCTCTCTTTTTGACTAACTACGTATTTTTGCGGGAATGCAGAGTTCTTACAGTCTTGGGAAAATTAAAAAAAGCTGTACCGCTGTATTATTATAAAAAATTAACTTCGTTTTATAAACTATCACTTTAAAATTAAAAATTCAAAACAATAGATTTCGCAGCTATTTTGCAATCTTAAGTGTGATGGTGAAAACGATCTTATCAATATATGTATTTACTATTTCCTCCATTTGCAACTCTATTTTAACTATTAAGGAACCATGCGAGCCCTGCAGGTATTCTTTTTTCATCCATATAATTTTCGCATTAATTTCTTAAATGCAAAACTTTAGTATTGTTTCCAGATGCTGTCTGAAATATTACTGAAAAATAATAATTCTTCGTGTTTCGAAATTTCTCATTAAATTTTATTGCGACATACATTTTATGGAAAATTCATTCAAAACACAAATTAAAGCCTTAAATATCAGAAATACTCTTTTACGTTTATTTATTTTTTTTTTCTCTTCTTTTTTAGCTTTTATACCTGTTTTTATGAAAGTAGAAAATTGTTGAAGTGAAAAAAATCAGTTACGGTTGTAGGAATGACGTGTAGAAAATAGTACAAATTCTTTTTCTTTTTTTTTCGGGCTTTTTTTAAAGCTTGATAAATCCCTTGGCTTTTTTTTCCCCTATGGGATACATTTCACACCACACTTATTTCTCACGGAAAAGGAGAAAAATAGGAATTTTTTGGCAACAGTTGAAAGCAAATCAAAGAACGTAACATATCTTACGAAGGACAGATTTTTTTTTTATTATTATTTTTATATGAATTTGTTTTTATTTCTCATGCCTCACGCTGGTTCTAATTTTTTTTTTAACAAAAACATATCTATTTATTCATTGTTTAGTGTTACTTCGTTATACACTGTTAGATATTTTATTCTAAAATTACTGTAAAATAACCGGCAGCAGACTGTCCATTCAATTAACCTTAAAGTTTACAAATAAAGAACATTTTTTTTTTACTTTTGAGATTGTAAAACCGTTTATAACTAGTATGGTTAAGAAACCAAGAATTCAAGATTATACGTTTCTTACCATTTACCACCAGCATAGTTTCAAAACCGTAAAAAAATTTTTACTGGACATTGGAGCTAGGCTTTTCGCTATGTAATGGGCATCGGATTTAGGTTGTGGTTGAGTTGTGTTTTATCAAATGAACTGTGGAATGTGGTTTAATTAGTTTATCTGATTGTTTCTCCTGTCGTTTGTTCCCCTTATTCCTCAATTTCACTCTCCTAACTTTTTCGAGAGGAATTTCGTTATTTTATGCACAACTATTTTCAGAATCTTCTCCGAAAATGAAGTGAAAATATGAACGCGTTGCAGATAGCAAATAATTATTTAAACTAAACTCAGTGGCGCGGCAGCCCATAAAGGGCCAAGGCTTACTGTGCCCATCTCAGTTTTCTTGACCTTGGAATCTGGGGTGCAAGAGCAGATGTTCTGGTGAGGTGGTCAGCCGAACGCGGAACCCCCGGTCTTTAGACGCACTGAAGAGATGAAAGGCTGAGTCAACCTTGCCCGGCCCGAGAATCGAACCCAGGACCTGTGGCACGAGAGCGCGAGGCGCTACCACTCGGCCACCGGGAGTCAAATAAGTATTTAAGAAGCAAAAATATTATCGAATACCTTAAGAATTATTAGCGGAAATATATCAAGATTAACCTTTTTCGAGACGGGAGAGTCATATATGCATTCTCAGGATGTCGATAATCAGGGTAAAAAAGATGAAACTGGTAGCGAAATTATTTTTAAAAAAGTTTTTTTGTGGCCAGGGTAATGAGAGTTTGCTTTATTTAATTCACCGCTACTTAGTTCGTATTAAAATTTGTATAGTTGCACTTTTAATACACATGGATTGGATGTGTTAGATTTAAAGTGAAAGCAAAAATAAGTCTGTCAAATTAGCTATGCCCAAACTTAAGCTACCGCTTTTTATTTTTTAACATCCTGATTCCTTACGAATACATTTATGACTCACCCGTCCCGAAAGGGTTAAAGGGAATTTTCAAGTTAATTGCCGAGGGAAATGAAAAGAAGAGGCCCCGTGATAACCTGGTCGGTAGTGACCATGTCCAAGAGGACGTGATCTCTGCTAGCAGAAGAATACTCGTGTAATAAATGGGACCTGGTGCACATTCAATGTGTCGGGTCACAAGATCCTCAAGTTCCCATAACAAATCAATTCCTCTGGAGATACTAAATTGAAGATGGATCGTTCTCTGGTTCAGGTCAAATTACGATTTGTGGATATCTATATCCGCTCTATAAACAGGCTGTGAAGCATGCGTGTGACGGAAGTCGAAGTCTTGGCCATAGATGGCGCCACTGAAAAACAAGAAGAAGCGCACCCTGTTCGCCTTAATGACATACGACAACAACAACAATATGAAAAAGTTAAAAGTGGCTATTAAAAAAACCTTCAAATTTAATCCGTAAGTGAAACCGATTTTTTGTTTGTTTTAAAAGCGCTTTTCTCAATAATGATTCGTAACATTTTCACGTCATTTCTGTATCTTTTACGTATATATATATATTGATTTGTGGGAAACATAAATAAAGATAAAAAGGAAAGAACAGTTAATATGAATTTTTCACAAAAATGACAAATGGATCTCCATCCGTTGTAGTTTGCGAATTACATAACGCATACGTTTTAATATATCAAAAACGTAATGCGTTTTCCTAGGGAGTTATTACACAGTGAAAATAGCCCTTGCTGGAGAAAGACGATTCCTGTCCAAGCGTAGACAAGGAGAACGAAGAAAAATATCGCAAATTAGACGACGTGAATATTAGTGAGGAATCATTTATTAGGGAGACATTTTGAGGGAAGTCCTACGATTCTTTTTCCAAAAATTGTAAATTTTATTTTAAAAATTTTTGGGATGAAAATAAATTTTTTCGTTTCATTTTCTCACATCCGTTTAATCTAATGCTTGCTCTTGAAAATTTTCATAACTTGAACTCTTATAGTTATAACCTCTTTAATTCTTAGCTAACCATGAATCTTATTTTATAGATTCGAATTCATCAACTGAACAATCTTCAGACCAAAGTAAGAAAAGAGGTCCCCTAGGAAGACTCTTTCGGAGCTTAGGTCCAAAGAAAGACAAAGAAAAAGTCTCCCCTAGACATAAAAGTGCCAAACCTCAACATCATCTAAATGTCAAGTACCTGGCAGACGGTATGTTGACATTTTTAATTTTGCGATGCTATAAATAAACATTGAAATACAGTGTATTAGATTTATATTGAATCGATATTCTATTCTACATTATATTCACTGTACTAAATCGATTATTAAATTGAATCGATATTGTAATTTACACTATATTCAAGATAAGTGTTAAATAATGTGTCGTAGCAAGAGTTAATGCACATTCTGTAGGCTAAATAAAAAAAAAAAACCCGGCTTTTGCAAATGTCGTCTGCAGTTTACATTGCGTCAGGTTAATTAAAAACAAATTTCAGTGTTTTCTACCCAGCCTGATATTTTAGTCTATTATAAGTACCTGCTTATATGTACCTTTAGGCTCATTAGAAACTGTGCGAAGAATTACTGAGGCTAAATTTTCTAAAGTAATAAACTTCTAATAAAGCTGTTTGCAATAAATCTTCCCATCTCTAGGCTTACTTAAGTGCCTGAACTAAATCAGGCTAAATTAGAAAAGATTGATACATTTTTTTAATTATCCTAAACCTAGATATGTAGGCTTATTGTAACAAGTCCAAAGAATGCCAGGCTTGGGTATTTTTACAATTAGCCTTATGCTTAGCTATTTGCCAAGAACCGAATTATTCAATGAGTATACGGCATGTGCATCAACTCTAAAAATATTGCATTTTGATTTGTTATCTCGAGAACATGCGATAAAGAACTGGAATCTATAGAACTATTCTATAGAATCCTTCTGAAATTTCATTAAATTAAGATAAAGTTTACTCGCATAAGGACATAACATTTAAGATATTATTTTTTTTTCATTTAAAAAAAAATAGTATTTTTTTTTATAAAAGCTAATTGCATTTTTTGTGAATTTCATTAGTTTCGTCTGATTTTGCGAAGCGATTTTAAAAATGATTATTTAAAAANAAAAAAAAAAAAAAAAAAAAAAAAAAAAACTATTTAAAGTGTTTAATACATCCGGAAAATTGATTTTTCTTATTTAATTTCTATATTATTTCATGAATAATTAGGTATTTAGGTTACAAAAAAAATTATGTATATATTATGTTTCAGTTAAAAATTAATTGACATTATGATACATTATGAAATTAATTGACGCTAATAGAATTTCAATTAGAATTTGTGATTGCTAAAATGGTCTGTATTCAGCAAGAATTAAAACTATTTATTACGATTATTTAATGTGACTTTCTAGAAGTTTCTTTAAAATTATTACTGAATCCTAAAATAATTGTTCTTTTACAAACCACTTAATTATTTAGTAAGTTAAATGACTTAACTCTGATTATTTTTTTAATTAATAGTTTGCCTGAATGTCACTGAAGAGCATTGAAAATTATTTAAATAAAGAAAAACGGAAGTCGAACAAAATGTATGATTTTCTGCCTTCTTTTTGAGGAAATCGAATGTGTTTTTTTTTTATATATATATTTGAAGTGAAAAACTATACATCCTGTTTTCAAAATAACTACTTTGGCGGCAACAATATGGCGCTGTTTAAAAACAGAATTGACAGACGGCCGTGCAAATAATATAGTCCAAATGGTCTGATATATTGCAAAAAAGATAAGAAAAATTATTTTGTTTTGTAATTTTCTCAGTCACTAACACCATCTATTTACTAAATTTTTAATAGTTTTAAATATAGCAAGAATAATAAATGATTTCGAGAACGAGACTCAGAATACTTTATATCTACTTCCATTTTTTAAAAAAAATATTTTTTTAACATTTTTAGAGCATCTACTATGCTATAAATTTATTTTTATTTACCTCACAGTTTGTTTTTTAAACTTTAATGTACTAATTATATTGCTAGTTTTTACTTGAAATAAATATATGTCAATTGCTAAAATAAAATTAATTCTTCAAAGAAAACTTTAAAAAGAACCAGTGTAAAATCCTGCTAAAAGCTCGTTAAATTAAAACTTTTATTTGAAACCTACGTTCATTGCTAAAACGAAATGAATTCCGCGAAGAAACCTATAAATGGAGCCACTGTAGAATCTTTCTAAAACCGTTAAATAGAAACTTTTTTTTTTTTTAATAATAATTGCCAACATAAAATGAACTTTTTGTAGGAAGCTATAAATGGAACCATTGTAGAATCCTTCGAAAACCTTGTTTAATTAGATTGTGTTTTTGAAATATATGTTAATTGCTAAAATAAAGTTAATTCTTTGTTGGAAGCTACAAATGGCACCATTATAGAATCATTCTAAAACCTTGTTAAATTCAGACTTTTTTTTTTAAATACATATTCATTGCTAAAACTAAATTTATTCTTAGGAGAAAGCTATAAATGGAACCATTGTAGAATCCTTCTAAAACCTCGTTAAATTAAAACTTTTATTTGAAATATATGCGAATTGCTAAAGCGAAATTAATTCTTCGAAGAAAGCTATAAATGGAACCATTGTAGAATAATTCTAAAACCTCGTTGAATTAAAACTTAAAATCAGCATTGAACTGAAATCCTCGTGAGGGATTGGTTCAAAACCCAAATTTTAAAATGGAACATTCGCTACAATTACATTTCAGAAACATTCTCTATGCAGGTGTTGATTTAATTTTATTCGGAATAAAGGCGAGCATATATCTCTAGATTACCTCTTTCTGTAATTGGATTGAGGCATATAAAGGCCTAGAAAGAACAATTCCAAATATTGAATTAGCAAGAAACCTAACACTAAGCCTCGCCGACGAAAGTCCTCTATCATTGAGAAGATTAGAGAGCTATGTTACAAATTGATTAAAAGTCTCTCTATGATCATTCTCAATGTTCCTCTTGGAGTAGTTATTTTTTCCATAGCTATATTTTCATTTGTATTGATTTATATCGAACTAAATAGTAGTAAGAAAAGAAGAATGAGTTTCTTATAGTTATATTTTTATCAGTTTTTTTTAAATAATTGCTATAACAATTAATTCTTCTAAAAAAACTTAGAATGGAACTATTATTGATTTATTGAAACTATAAATGGAACTATTATTGATTTCTTAAGCATTTATTGAATTTATGTTTTAACTTGTTTAATTTATGTTTTAACTACGTGTTCTTAAATTTTTGTTAAAATAATGAGTTAAAGAATAATTTTCATGTAGGTATACTTTTAGTAGAAAAGTATATTTTCGTCAGAATAATTTTTGTTATTCTGACGAAATTCTAATTTCGTAATTATTCTAAGTTATTGACTTGATTTTAAAAGAAAAATGCTCTTGTATATTTTGAAATTAGTACATTTTCTAGTTTCTACTTTTAGGTATATTTTCATAAAACTTATTTGTCGTGAAAAGATAAGAATGATTTCCATATAGGTATATTTTATTTAAAATAGAGTATATTTTCATTAGAATAGTTATGTATTCAATTATTATTGTGCATAATTAAAACGGGAACATAGCTCCAAATTATGATTTAATAAGCGTAAATTAATAAGCCTAAATAAACTAAAAGTATACCATAGTTTAATTATATTATTATTCACTTATAATTTTTCATATCAGCCCAGCTTTAGTTTGTTTCCGCTCTTCGCAACCATCAAGAGAAAATAAATTTTATCGGTTTTCTGCTTACGCATAATTGTTTCATCTAATGCAGATAATGCTTTCTTTTATTGGGGAAGAAAAAAGAACAATGTCAATTTTTATATTACAATTAGTATATTTAGAACGTATTCTGTAGTCTAATTTTTTACGTACGTATAATTGGGATGATTACTATTGTTCTAAAGATGACCAAGATTCATGGGAAATTGAGAAGATTGGCGAATGATTTTCAAAATTGATTAAAAAATTTATCATGATTCGCAACAAAAACTTTTCATGTTGAAGTGTAGTTTTTTTCCCATAGATATATTTTAATTTGAATATTTCTATAGATATATTTCTATTGAAATATTTCTATAATTATATTATCATAAAAATATTTCTATTAGTATATTTTCACTAGAATAGCTTTACGCATAGGTATATTTTCACTAATTTATCTAGCTTGTTTTTATTAAAGAAGAAAGAAGAATTTTTTTCAAATAAATATTTTATTTAGTGAATTTAACAAATCTCCGCTAGTCTTCTTTTTTTTAAATTCTTTTCAGCTCCGTTATTTAAATTCTCTAATTAGTTAGTATATCGACATTCATATGTGTCATATTTTTACTTAGGAAAAAAAGATTAATGAAATTGATTGAGAAAACTATTCCAGACACTTAAGGCTCCCCAACATCTCATTTTCCTAACGCTGTTTTTCGAAGCTTTGTCGAATCTTGTCGTAAAGAATTATCTGGGCTTTAGAACAGACAAATAACTTTAATATTATAAAAGTTATTAAACTTTTTAAAAATCACCAGTTTGGCGACATTTTTCCACCTAGATGAAAAGTATCAAAATCACTGCCTTATTCTCAATTTTTGCAAATTTTTATGAGCTCAGGTAATGCAACATTGGATTAAGTATTTAAATATTAAAAATTTAAACCACGCTTTTCATTTTCTTAAAACTAAGCCATTTCTCCATACTGACGTTTTGCGCCATTTTCAGAATAAACATTGAGGGTTAAGGTAAGCTAAACTTGACCTAAGAGGCCTGAGTATTGCATATTCAATCTGAAATGTAAAAAGCATATTATACATTGGCAGCATTGGAGTAATGCATTAAATCTTAAAAGATTAGACCACAAACGCTCTCCATTTTCCTAAAACCGTGACTTTTCTCCATATTGACGTTTAGCGCCATTTTGAAAATAATCGTTGACAGTGCTGACTAAACTTGACCTAATAGTCATGAGTAACAGTTGCAAACTCACAGCAGGTTATACAAAAAGAATATTATTCTGAAAAAAGCATTATTTCAATTACGACGGAGTCTTCGAAAAACAGCCTTAAGAAATAAATAAAATTATCAGTACTATTTTTAAATGTATTCTGCATCAGCCGGCGATGATCAGCTGTCGTTATTTCTACAACTTTTCGAATAAAGTTAAAACTCGTCTAAATAAT